AATCGGCCAAGGTGACTTCGCACTCCTCTGTCCACAAAAAATCTGTGGCCTTCTTCAACAGACTAAAAAATGGTTTACATTTATCTGAAATTCGACTTATAAACCTATTGAGGGTTGCGGCCCTTCTTGATAACATCTATAGTTGTTTTGTCGACATTGGGCTTTTCAAGTCCAAGATAGCCTTGATTTGATCTGGGCTTGCCTCAATGCCCTTTCTGGTAACCAAGTATCCCAAGAACTTACTAGACCCAACTCTAAATGCACACTTCGAAGCATTGGATCGGAGCCGATATGTTCTAAGGATGTCGAAAACTGCCTTCAAGTCCACTAGATGATTCTCAGGTTCTTTGATCTTCACGACCATATCATCAATGTATATTTTCACTGTTTTGCCAATTAGATGTCTGAATATCTTGGTCACTAACCTCTAGTAGGTTGCTCCTACATTTTTCAACCTCAAAGGCATCACTCTGTAGCAATACAACCCTTTTGGGGTGATAAATGCAGTATTCTCCTCATCAGAGGGGGTACATTGCTATCTGATGGTACCCTTTGTAAGGGTCTTGGAAGCTTATTATTTCATGCCCTGAAATGGCATCCACTAATTGATCGATCTTGGGGAGTAGGAAGCTGTCTTTAGGACAAGCCTTATTCAGGCTAGTGAAGTCCACGCAGACCCTCCACTTCTCATTCTTCTTTTTCACAACAACTGTGTTTGACAACCAAGTAGGCTAGTTTACCTCTCAGATAGCTCTGGCCTCTAACAATTTGTTCACTTCCTCCTCTACTGCCTTCATATGAACCAACGTTGGCCTACTCACTCGCTGAATGACGGGTTTAGCCGACCTGTCTACGTTCAATCTGTGGTATGTAACCTCGGGGTCAATGCCAGGCATCCCGTATGGCATCCAAGCAAATACCTCTATGTTTTCCCGCAAGAATGCTTCTAACTTTCTTTCCTCTTTTTAGGCCAAGCCTGAGCCGAAAAGGAAGAATCGTTCTTCATCCCCTTGCTGAACCAGAATTTTCTTCAAGGCTTCCTCGCTTTTGTTAGCCGGCTCTTTGCCGACGTCATCCAAGACCTCCATGTCCTCGTCCTCAATCTCTACTGTTTCTGCTTCTCATATGTTGCACGTGGATTTCATTGCTACCATGGAGCAATTCTTTGCCTACACTTGATCCCTTTTGACCTCCTCAATTCCATACTCTGTTAGGAATCGTAACAACTGGTGTAGTGTTGAGGAAACAGCCCTCATTGCATGCAACCATGGCCTCCCCAAGATAACATTGTAAGGGGAGGAGGTGTCAATTACTGTGAACTTTGTACTTACCTTATTGGTGTCTGCCTGCACCTCCAAACTTATTGCCCCCAGGGGCTATGTCGGCGTTCCATTGAACCCGACCATTGGACTGTTGGACTGCTCCAGGTCATCTAGGTGAAGGCCGAGCTCCTTGTAACATTTGACATACATAATGTCACAAGAGCTGCCTTGATTGATCAGAATGCGCCTTACCTGGCATTCTCCAATCTTGAGGGATATCACCAAAGCATCGTTGTATGGATGCTGCACTATGTCTAGGTCGACTTTAGTAAAGGACACCATTACTCCTTGGTACTCATTTTCTCTAGGCCTCTTTTGTTGGACTTGATACATATGATGTAAGTGTTTTACCCTCTGAGTCTCCCCACGTACCTCGTTCTAATTAACCTCTGAGTGAGTCACATTGATCACTCAAGGTTCGCCTACCTGCGGTTGCGGTGCTGGTAGAGGTGGTGCTGCTAGTGCCTGGGGCAACCTTGCTTGCTCTTCTCTTGTTCTGGCCTCATCTACTAGGTCCCTTAAGTGACCTTGTCTTACCAGATCTTCCAGATGTGTCTTTAGGGCTCTGCACCCTTGAGTTAGATGCCCATCCTCATTGTGGTAGGCACAGTGCTTTCCAAGGCTTCTTCCCATAAATTCGCCAGGGATCTTCTCTAGTGCTCTATAGTAAGGTTGATTCCTAATCCTTTCCAAGATTTTGTAAACCGGGATCTGAAACACTATGGTGACCGCCTGTGCAGCTCTTAGTCCTGTTTCTTGTCTATTAAAATTTGTATTATGTCGGCCTCGCTTCGGCGAGCTGTTCCGCTTCTCTTGTTTTGATGCCTTTGTTCCTGGCGTGTCTCCTTCTACTCTCGCATATTTCTTGATTCTGGTCATAAGTTCCTTCATACTTTTTGGCAGTGTCTTTCTAAGTGACTTTCGAAGCAGGCAGTCATCGTTCAGACCGTTCTTAAAAGATACGATCGCCAACTCTTAGTTGCACCCTGGTATTCGGTTAAACATCTCATAATACCTTTTGACATAAGCCCTGAGACTTTCATCCTCGCCAATTCTCAAAGCCATCAGGGAGTCTACCCTCAACGGCTGCCGTTTGTTTGTAACAAACCTAGCCACAAACATCTCGGCCAGACCTTCCCAATTTTTCACAGTTCCTTTCGGCAATTTGTGAAACCAATTTGATGCGATTTCCCCAAAGGATGAGGGGAACACCTTGTAGAGCAACGGTTTGTTCCTAGTATATAGTGCCATCGAGTTCAAATATAAGCCGACGTGGAAGTTTGGATCAAACTTACCGTCATATATCTAGAACCTCGGCATGTGAAACCTTTTTTGGGCCTCAAACTTATCCAACTCTACTGAAAACGGCGTTCTTGGCTTGACCGGGGTTGTGACCTCGGCATCTTGTCGCTTCCTCTGGAGGTAGTCCCTCAAATCCTCCTTAGTCCGGCCAAGAACTCTGCTGTCAATGGATTTCAGCCATTTTGGTACGCTGCTCCCAGTGTCATTATGAGTCCTCTTGGACCTCCCTTCATTCATCATGTCAAAACAAAGCTCCTTCCGTTGAACATACCGATGTTCCTTGACGTAAGTTTCCTTGGCACGATATGTCTTCTGAGACTCTCCTATCATCGATTCTCCTCGCCCGACCTCCCGTGATGGCCAATGCGAACGCTCATTCGCCCTATCATACTAAGAGACTGCAGGGATTGCTTTCTGTCCCCCCTTCTGGGCATCGTTCTTGGCCGCTGGAATCGGCATGTCTTCTAATGGAAACAGTGGTTGTATGACGTTGTTCTGCATCATGAAGTTGACAACTGATTGTAGGTCTACCAACTTGTTTGCCATACCTTTTATCTCTCCGTCCCTCCTTAGGCATCTATCTTTCCATACCTAAAGGTCGCTTTCGTTGTAATACGCGCCTTGACATGCTTTCTTCGATGCGTCTCCCTCTTAGCCGACATCCTTTTCTCTGGGATTCTTATCTCAAGGTTCTTCATTACAGTTGTCCTCCTGAACGTTAGGATCAGCGTTTTTACCACTCCCACTAGGGATGTCGCCCCCAATCTTTTCTTTATGTCCGTCATTGGCCATTTATTCTCCTTAAGTTTCCCACAGACGATGCCAAGTTGTGGGTGCTGATTTCCGACCACACTGCCAAACTGGAACTCAACGGGAGAGTATAGGCAGAATAGATCACGCTCGAACAACCTATCACAAAAAGATAAGACTCCAACGGTGGTTCGTCCACCTGGGGGCACTCCGACGATCAAGTTAGTACTCAATATCTCTCAAAGATAGCAAACAATGCTTAACTCACTAGCCAGAATACAAAAAGCGTACCGTAGACCCATGAGGATGCCTTATTTTTATAGCCAACACTAACCTGATCCCCATATAAGCCTAACTTCAATGGACTCTGGCTCAATGTTCATCTTGGACTCCCAGCCAGATAGAGATAAACTCCCTAAGAGCTTTATCTTTATCCAGACTGAGGTCCTCCCCCATTCTAGGACTCTTGTCTCCTATCCGCTCATCTCGGATTCCGGTATCTCCGCAGATAACCTCGGCTTAGCCGAGATCACCTCGGCAACATGACCAAGACACGTGGCACCTCGGCTGACACTCCGTTGCCACCTTGGCCACGTGTTGTCATTCATAAAATATGTCTCCACAGTAGTAATACTATAAATTCAGAGTTACCTATTTTAAAATTATTGAAAATTATTATCTTGTGATTCAGATTTATTCTATGCATAGATTCTGTACCATACAAACTCAATCTCAATCACACAATTCTCATTCAGGATAAATTTGAGATACTTTAGTAGGGTTCATAGGATTTTTCTAACAAAAATGCTACAAATTTTACAAAAATTACTAAAACATTAAAGGAGAATTCTACCCTACATACGTCCACTATATGCACATCTAATTATGCCATTTTCTTTGATAGTTAGGAATAATTTTTTTTAATAGTTATGACATTATTTTAATTATACATATGTGACATTTAATTATGACTAAAAAATATATATAATTAATATTTTTTTTCTTTCATTAGAGCAACTCCAACCACACTCTCTACTTTTCACTAACTAAAGTACGAAAAAAATACGCTCTTTATTTTACCTAATTACTTTAGCTATTGTGTTCTCTAACCACACTCTTTATTTTAGCTAACCATTCAAACTAACTTAATTAATTTTTAAAACAAAAAATATTAATTGTTGATATTTACTAATGTAAATTAGCAATAATAATAAATTTGCCTATACAAGCATACAAAACCTGTAGAATGAAGAGAAAAAAAATACAAAATACAAAATACAAAATAAGTTATTCCGTAATTCATCAAACAGAATTGAAAGAACATATAAAATTGTTACATATACATATACATATATAAAATATATAAAATCTCAAATCCAAGACATAAATATACAAAAATCCAAAACATATACATACATATTTATTTGAAGAGCATAGGAGACTCTTTAATTGTAGCTAGCAAAAAGATAAGATAATAAAATAACTAACCCAATAACCAACACATTAAAGCTCAAAATTAGAGTTATATTGACTAAAATACCTAACAAACTTTTTTTAAGCTATCCCATGCTCTTATATATATATATATATATATTTTGGAACTGTCCCATGCTCTTATATGTTATACACATTTTTGCGCCTGTACATAATTTTTCCCAATGTTAGATACAAAATTGCACCTACAAACAACGGTCTTCTCTGTGGGTCGTCGTCTCCGTCAACTGGATGAGAGAGGAGAGAGAACCATACCATGGAAGCTCTGCTTAGGCTTCTTCGAGTAGCTCTAGTGTCTCAGTCGTGGCTCACTTCTCTCTCCTCGCCAAATCTTCTTCTTTCTCCTCGCAGGAGTTTCAGATCGTCAATGTCGAAAGCAGAGTAAGCTCTCTCAGTTCATCAAATTTGTCTCTCATCAATCTATATACATATATATATATATATATAGCATCCGAACGAGCCCCTGTAGCAAATTGAGCTACAGATCTTACACTTTAGGCTTTGGTCTTTTAGATAGTATAATGGAATCTGGCTTTGTTTCTGAAATAAAACCATCTAGGTTCGTTTGGCCGCCAAGAAAATGGAGGAAAAGAAAAGAAACTGAATTTATTTATCTCATGTTGTCAAAATTTCTCATTTTCCCCAGTTTCTAGAAAATACACGATGAAATAAATCAAAGTGTAAAAAGTTGTTTCAATGGTTACAGAGCTTGAACTCAAGTTTAGATGGTTACAGAGCTCGAATTTTAAATATTTCGATTTTTCAAAAAGAAAGCTATGGAGTTTTTTTTCAAAAGGTGTGCACATTTATAATAAAAAACAATGTGCTGTGACTTCTTGTTGACCAGATGCCCCCAACTGTGAATTCAACCAAATTTCAACAAAAAATGGAATTTTTTTCTTGTAATTCTATAGAAGAATGACCCTTTCTTTTTCTTTTTTCTTGGGTATGATTTTCACAAATTCACAGATGATGATGATTATTATTATTATTATTATTCATGCAAGTTTGAGGTTCATAACTTGCAAATTCATTTCATGATAAATTTTTGGAAAACTTAATTTGTATGCTTCTTTATTAAAAACATACATAGATCTAAGTTACTGGAGCGGAATGGGAAAATTGCTAGTTTCTTATAGTATCAACTTGGTTCTGAGTTTTTTGGATCCAAATCGAAAAAAAATACTACTTACAAAAAGTCTGCTAAATTTTTCTTAAATATATAATAAAGTTTACAAAAAATTTAAAAATATATAAAATGTTCATCAATTTATATGAAAAAAAAAAAAAATTAGTTGAATAGGTCCATAAAATCAATCAATAAATAAAAATAGAGAGGGAAAGAAAATATCTTCACCATTTATGATGGATGAAAGATGAGAGAAGATCAATAATGTTGAGTTTTAGGCCTCCAATTTCTCATTCTTTGAACTTCAATTAATCTTTGAGTGGCTGTTATGTGTGGCTAGCTTTTGTTTTGCTCTAAGGGTTATGTTTTGTTTTTCCCCAATTTTGATTGTCAGTCAAAGAGGCACGAACAACCCACCAAGATCCTTTAGAGTGTTTTTTTCCTAAAGTTTTTTAAAGTTATGTATTGTGTGGTTGAGATTTAATGTTGAAAAATTGATGTGACTTGTTATTAAATTTTAACCACACAATGCACCACTCTAAGAAATTTTAAGAAAAAAAAACTCCAAATCTTGCTCCAACAACCATAGATAAGAGAGAGAAGAGATTGATTGGACCTCAAATTTCTTTACACTTGGGCTTTTGTTGAAGAATATCACTTTTTAATTTAAAATTAAAAAGTTAGTAAAATAATCAAATAACCAATAAATTATATAAAAATGTGAAAGATTTTTTTTCTTCCTACTTTTTATATTTTTTCATAAAAAAATTAAAAAGTTATCTCACATATTAATTTTTTTATATCAAATTTTAGTCAAAAAAATAAAAAAAATATTTAAATAATTTATTTTCAAACGAGACCTAACTTTAAAAGATTTAAGAATATAGGCCTCAAATTTTTGGACTTTTTAAATTTAATTTGGGTTATTGTATTAAACAGATTTTTGTAGTGAGTTTTTATTTTTTTATATTTTAGATTGGGCCTTTTATTTGTTAAAAAGTTTAGATTGGGCTTTTTATTCATTCAGGCCTTTAAACTTATACTAATAGTAAATTGGGCCCCATTTTTTTTTAATATACTAGTACAAAATTGTAAATTTTTTTAGGGTCCTATTTTCAGCCTTTTTTTTTTAAGGCCAGAAGCGACTGCTTTGTCGCCCTCCAAACTGGGCCTGCAAATTCGTATCCATTTTTCTTAGTTTTTCGCCCACAAGAATATATAATATGTGTGTTTGTTTTGAAGGATTAGGGCGTGGGATTGGATTATTAGTCCCACTGGACTAATAGTTCATTATTTGTTTGAAAAATTTTACTCCGGATTATTAGTCCCACAAATATGGGACTATCCTATCTCATGGGGGAAGGTGGGATAGAAACCATGTAGTTGGTATCCCATGAGATTATTTTGTGAAATGTCCATTTTACTCTTCATGCTATTACTTAGTAAACAATTAGAAAATGAGAAAATAGTCTTTTGAACATTTATAAATTACTTTTTTAATGTTGTTAATTTAAAATTATATATTAAATAAAAATTTAAATTATAAATTATAAATTAAATTTAATTAAAAATAATAAATTAAAAATTATGGCCTTATAAATTAAATTTTTTTAATGTTGTTAAAAAATTAAATTTACATATTAAATAATTTTTTTTTAGTATTGTTAATTTAAAATTATATATTAAATAAAAAATATAAATTATAAATTAAATTTATTTAAAAATAATAAATAATAAATTATAAATTATGGCCTTATAAATTAAATTTTTTTAGTGTTGTTAAATTTAATTTAATTGAAAATAATAAATTAAAAATTATGGCCTTATAAATTAAATTTTTTTAGTGTTGTTGAAAATTTAATTTATATATTAAATAAAATTATTTTTTTTATTGTCGTTAATTTAAAATTATATATTAAATAAAAAATATAAATTATAAATTATAAAATTTAATTTAATTGAAAATAATAAATTAAAAATTATGGCCTTATAAATTAAATTTTTTTAGTGTTGTTAAATTAGAAATTATAGATTACAAATTTTAAATTATATATTAAATAAAAATTATGAATTAAAAGGGTAAAATAGTCTTTTGAACATTTATCCTTATCCAGTCCGTCCAACCAAACATTAGATTCACTAAAAATAGTCAAATCCAAACATATAATCCCATGACTAAACAAACATAGGATACAAATCCAATCCAACCAAATAGTCCGGGGACAATATATCCCGGAACTAATAGTCCGATGGATTACAATCCTCTTTATCCAGTCCGTCTAAACAAACACGTCCAATGGGTATGGATTGAATCTTATTGATGATATGGTTTTCAGTTGCTTCAGAAGTTTGAAATCACAAATCTTGGAATACAGAACACTCTAATACCATAAAAACATCAACAATATGAAAGTTCCCCACCAAATTTCCAAGGGAATGATGGAATTCCATGTAGTACTATTATATTGGGTAAATTCTCAATAGATCTTAATAAGTTGAAATCCATTCTCTTCAAATTTTATTAAAAATAAATCCAAATAAAATCGTCGCTAAAAATAATTTCTTGTGACGATTTTTTGCATATAGCGATAAAAATTGACAATTAGTGATTCTTTTTATTACGATTTTTATAAATTGTTGTTAAAATTTATACTTAGTGACTTTTTTTTTAACGAATTTTTTAAAATGTCGCTAAAAGTTTAAAATTAGTGACATTTTTTTGTGACAATTTTTTTAAACTATCGCTAAAACTTATAATTAGTGACATTTTTTAGACAAATTTTTTATATTGTCGCTGAAAATTTGTAACGCCCTCAAAATAAACCCATTATACGTATATCATCAACATGCATTATTTAAATAAAATAATTTATTTATTCATTCATCAGAGTATTATTAAATAAAAACATTACATGTAATACCAAATTAAATGCCCTACGGGCTTACATTTTTCCAAGCTAACACTTGGACACAAAATATGAGTTCTAACTCAAATACAAATAAAGCCCTAGGCTTGATTATATATCAAATAAAAACAAATAACTAAAGATGGTCTTCAGAACCCAAAAGCTAAATCCTTCCAAGCTAAGTCCTTGGAGGTAGCTTATCACCTGAACCTGAAAATGATGTTCCCATAAAGGGTGAGCCACAGCCCAGTAGAAAAATACTAAACCAAATATAAGCATTGAATAAAGCATTAGCATCCAATAGATGGTTAACCAAGATAATCAATTACATCATTTTACAGTCTCATGACAATATCGTCTAAGACACGTTTTACTTTCCAACTTTATCAATATGGCTCAGAACCTGGCCAAACTTACAACAGTGAACTATATATATTATTCACATTCTTTCCATGTCAACAAACAGATGAGACTCAGGCTCAAATCAAACACTTTCATACTTCTATTTGATACACATTTTATGTGCTGTATCAAATAAAACACTTCCATATAAAATAAGCACACATAAAAGTGATGCTAATGGAGTCCATCCCCTTCTCCTCCCAAACAAAATTCGGTTTAGAGGTCCATCCCCTATCTTCCCTAAACCGTGGAGTACATCCCCTATCTCCTCCCACACAGAACAATATATGCAAATGGCAATGCTCAATCAATACACGTATTTTCTGTATTAATGCAATAGTCAAAATTAATGACTTAACAATGTGATTAGTTTCAGTTTATTCCTATCCACATGCATGTCTACAACAAACACGACTATCCCACCGATAGCCAAAACAGTTATTTCTAGACTGGAAAATAACTATGTCAACAATTCAATAGACAAATGATTCAAATTATCCAATTACGCCATTTAATCAATGAATTCCCCAATTCCATGAATTTAACCATCTTTTCCCAATTCCATGAATTAATTATACAAATTAATTTATTAATACAACTAGGGTTTTTTTCCAAAATTACCAAGTACTCCCAACATATCAAAATACCAAAACTTAGGACAAAACTTATAGGATGGAGTAGGAAATCCCTACCTTGAAGCGAAGAATTCGAATGGAGAAGATGACAAAACCCAAAGTGCTCCAAACCCAAGATTGTTCAGATTAAACGGAAGCCCTCGACCCACTCTATTTTTTTAACAAAGGACTTAGGGTAGAAATACACTCTAAGTAGATCAAACCTAAGAGAGAAGGTGTGTAGGGAGAGGGAGAAGACGGTTCTAGGGTTTTAAAATAAAAAATGAGATGAAAAATGATCCAGAAAGTCGGATCTCGGATTTTTATACCAGTCGCCCTGCTCGAGCGTGGAAACCCCCGCTCGAGTGCCACTCACAGACTCCCACTCGAGCGGCCAAACTCCCACTCGAGCGGCGAACGCACACTCCTAGAAGTTTTTGCAGACAGGTCCCCGCTCGAGCGCCCAAATCCCCGCTCGAGCGTCACTCACGACTTCCCGCTCGAGCGTCCAATTCCCCGCTCGAGCGGCCAACACTACACAGGACATACTGGATGGGTGTATTCCCCGCTCGAGCGTCCAAACCCCCGCTCGAGCGGACAAGCCAAAATCTGGGCAACTAGACTTGGTTCCTAAGCTCAACCAACCTGCTCCAAATCTTCCCAACACAACCCAAGACTCAAAATAAGAAGATAATGAATGACAACAACAATTATACAATGACGGAATCTACGGAACCTAAGTCCGGATACAATAATCAAATGGGAAAAGACCGGGGTCGCTATAAAATTAATAATTAGTGACAGTTTTTTATAGTATTTTATTAAAAACGTCATTAATTCTCACAAAACTTATTGGACAATAAGTTCACTTAATAGGACCTACTAAGTCCCCTTACTATTTAACTACAAAAAATGCGCCGCATTAAATTTTTTTCCTTTTTAATTTTTGGAAAATAGTTTCATATTTTGGATGTTGAACCCTTTCAGGCTAATATCCTATCTAAAAAATTAAAAATTAAAAAAATAAAAATAAAAATAAAAAAACCCTTTCAGGCTAATAGATATATATCACATCTAACTGTTTATGTCGATTATTTATGTCAACCACTACAAGCTAATGAAATAGGGAGTATATCATCATCACATTTACGTATAGATTCTAGGAATATAGTTATTGTTTCTTATTTTCTGTTATCAACTGCAGCGGAACTAGATTTCAATGTAATTCTTGAAATTTCAATTGCTACAATGTCCAGGATCCATATGCTTTTCAGACATGTGTCTGTTTTTTTTTTTTTTTTGGAAGATTGGCTCAACATTTGTCCAATTTATTACATTAAGCATAATCATAGTTATTGTTTCTTATTTTCTGTTATCAACTGTAGAGGAACTAGATTTCAATGTAATTCTTGAAATTTCAATTGCTACAACGTCCAGGATCCATATGCTTTTCAGACATGTGTTTTTTTTTTTTTTTTTTTTTGGAAGATTGGCTCAACATTTGTCCAATTTATTACATTAAGCATAATCAACTCCGTTTGTTTTTCCAAAAAATATTTTCTACATTTTTTGATATTTGATATGACAGAAAATAAAAGTCATTAGAAAATATTTTTCATGATCAATAGAAAACAAGCATATTTGAACAGAAAATATTTTTCACTTTTAAAAGTTGGAAAACGTTTTCTGAACTAAATTTTTACTAATGCTACCACTAACATACTACTATCACCACCATCCATCATTGCATTGCCGTCACCACCTCCATTGCCACCAAACCACCACGACTGCCACCTCCACCCTATCACTACCATCACTATCACTGTCGCCACCACAAACACCCCAACACCTCGAACCTCCACCACCACTTTCACCACCTGCTCCTCCTCTATTACCACCACTAATGCAACTATTAGTGCATTAGTTTAAAAAAACAAAACCAAATATAAGAAAACATTTTCTATGAAAAATATTTTTTGAAAAAAAATTTCCATAAAAAATATTTTGCACTGAAACAAACAAAGAGTAAATTCAATTGCTAAATTTCCTACTTGATGCTTGCGGGAGTGATATTTTCCAAGTACCAAAATCATTGGTCCTTAACGTACATATGTATACATACATATATATAGACATACAATCCTTCAATTCGGCAACATTTGTTTTGGGGTATTTTATTCATGTTTTGTTGTTCGGTTAAACAAAAAGTAAATAAAACATTTTTTTAAGGAAAATGTTTTTGCATCCTTTTTTTAAAATAACTTACTTTTAAAAATTTTCTGAGTCAATTTTTATGACGTTAACTCTTACTCATTATCTTTTCAACACATTTAGTATTTTTAAATAAATATCTTAACCCACTCAAAAATCATAAATGACACTTATTGAATCAAAATTTATCTTTTAGGTAATCAAATATTTTTATTTTTAAATGTCAATCAAACGTCGAAAAACAAAACAAATTTTTTATTTTTTTTGGTGTAAAATATTTTAAGTTGAAACAAACTGAATCGATTGCCATATATATTTCTGATCTGGCTAGGTTTTGCTAGTCTCATTGTGTGTTTTCGGCTTCTTTAAAGACTGCAAGTTCAGCATGATAAGAATTACTATTCAGCTTTTGGTTGTTTTTGATTTTACTATTTCCCTCTATAGAATTTTTTTTCCCTTTCCATTTGGATGAAAGAATGATCTCAGTTTCATGCAGTGATCAATTTAAACAATAAAAAAAAAAAACAAATGAGACAATGAAAATTTTTCCTAAGGTTAATGTTAAAAAAAAATCAACAACACTATAAATTCAAATTTATTGACTCAAAATTTATCCCAAAAAAAAAAGAATTTATAATTTAAACTTATTTTATTAATAAACTTTACATTTTATTAATTTAATTTCTATCTTATAAACATATACGGAATAAATTATAGACCGATAAGAAGGACTTTATAACATTTTTGTAAAAAAAATTCTTTATACTGATGACTTTTTCTTTGCAATCAGAATTGGAAATAAAGCCGCGGTATGCCTTTATTTGGGGGGTCACTGGATATGGAATACCGTTGCAAGACTTCCTTTTTTGAGTCATCTCATGTAGCCCCCTCACTTCACTTCAGCTTTTGGATATCCTCTTGTTGAGGCAGTGGCAGACGAGTTGACCATGAAAGTGGGTACGTATATTTTTTCTACTTTCTATTTATTCACTTAAGTTTCTCTCTGTTGGACATTTCCCTGGAATGAAACATCATATAAATACTAAAACAGAAACTGTTGCCAGAGGGATTAAAAAAGGGGAATTAGCACTTCACTCTATATTTGTAATAGATAAATAAATGATTAATTAGTTAAATTAGTGATAAATTTTAGGGTAATTTCCAAACACACCTCATGAAATTTACTTAAATTATAAATTATTTCCTGTGATTTTAGAAATTACATTATACCCCCTAAGGTTTCTAATTTCATAACAGATATGTCCTTTTATTAATAAATCATCAAGTCAATTAAAAATTTCAGATAATTTTATTATTGTATAGGTAAACAGTTAAAAATTTCACTTTTTCAATTAATTATGTTAAATAAAAATTCTGATAGGGAGGTATTTGTAATTTTCCAAACCACAGGAGGCAATTCGTATTTTAAGCAAATCTCAGGGGTGGATCTGTAATTTATCCTAAATTTTAATAATCAAAGGAAAAAATTGTTAAAAAATTCAAGGTAGAAAGAGTATAAGACCATTGTTTCGAAACCCAGACCAAACCAGCCAGTCGGTCAGACCGGAAACTAGGCCTTGTTTCGGTCCGAAAAATCCTCTAAACCTGGACTAAGGGAAAAATCGGTATAAAATTGGTAAGAAGTCCTTTTATTGGTTTTGAAGGATATTTTATTTCTAATTTTACCCCTTAATTTATCTATGGACTTTTTTTTTTATTATCTGTTTAATTTTTTTTCTATCTGTTCAAATTTTTTGACTATCTATTTAAATTTATATCTATCTTTTTATATTTTTTCTATCTGTCCAAAATCTATCTGTTCAATATTTTTATTTGTACAAATTTTCTATCCAAATTTTATTTGTATAAATTTTTCATATTTTTACAATTTTTATCTATCCAACTCACTAAATTAATTTTTCATATCTGTTGAATATCACAAAGCTTATTGAACATATATGTGCTAAATAATTATTTGTTGAACTTATCTGTGTGAAATTCTTATCAAAGAAAGAGAAATTGAATAGATCGATCATCCATTGAACAGTCTAGGTATGAACAGATCAATTCAAAAACCATTAAAAGCACATATCTACACAACAAGCATATATAACCGCAAAACACACATATCTAAATCTAAAGCATATATAACCGCAACAATCACATTCTTGAGAATCAATGGTTGATCTATGTGGATGCTACTCCATAGAAGAGGATCACTTCTAATAGTTGAATGCAAAGATTTGCAAATCCGTTCCACAGAAGATGATTACTTCTAATAGTTGAATTCAAAGATCTGCAAATCCGTTCCATAGAAGAAGAAAAAAAAAGATCCCGAACACCAAGAAAACTAAGGGCAAAAGGTAAAGCCACATGAGCAGCTCCACTATCTCCATCAGCACAACTTTCAACAACCTCCAGAGATTGCCGACCAATAGAACGTAGATTCATTTCCAAAGCAACTGTCATCGCCGGTCACCTGCAAAGCCAAGTTCATGTGTAGTTTTGGTGGAAAGAGATAGAGGATGAAAGATAGATAGAGAGATCAGTCGGCAGAGAGAGAGAAAGAGAGAAAGAGAGAGAGCGACAGTGATGGCAGTGACACAGTGGTGGTCTAGATCTAGGGTTAGGGTAGGCAGATCTAGGGTTCGGGTAAGTAGCAACGAAACCCTTGGGATCACGGGCGACGAATCCCCTATTCCCTCATTCGAATGTCTCTCTCTCTTTAATGGTAGCTCCGGTGAATGTACTGAAGTGAATGTAAAGATTTGAGAAGATGAGTGATCAAGGCAGAAAGAGAAGATAAGAAAATAAGAAGACGAATGATCTAAAGTAGATCTAAGAAAGATCGATACTCTCTGCTTCATCTTCACCGGCGGCGAGGCTTTATTCTGGCAGAAGATTAATAACAAAACCCTAACACCTTGTTCCGTCAATATCTCCAATGAATCATCGAGAAGTGTATTTGTGATGTTGAGAAGTAGCGGCTGAAACGGCACCGTCGGAACCCGCCATTGTTGGGCAATGTTGGATGGGTTTTTATTAGTGGTGATGGAAGAGAAAGATAGGTTTTTAGCAGTGGTGATGGAGGAGAAAGACGAAGAAGAAGAAGAAGAGAGAGACAGAGAGAGACAGATGGAGAGAGAAGAGACAGAGAAATGCATAAATGAGGAGAGTTGTGTACATATATATAATATGGGTAGTTTCGTCATTTTGCACAACCGTGTCCTTATGGACATAATTGTTTACCGCCTAGACTTTTCGACTAAAAGAATTCGAATTTGGATTTATAAACCGAATGCCCTAATCAAAATCATATAATTTTTCATGAGTTAGTAATTATTTTGGGAGAAAAACCACTGATTTGTAAATTCCCTATAAAAAAAATAAAAAAATAAAAAAAACCCTTTTGATATGGTTCTTTTTCTAGTGCAACAACACCTGTAAGTATTTTTTTTATGGTATACTAGTTTTGTCAGAAATTTGAAATAAATTTTGCCATATATGTTAAGAAATCGACTCTTCCTAATCAGAATCAATGAGATACAAAATAGATAGGCAAAAAATTAAAATGAATTGAAACAATCATATACACAAGAAACACAAAAATTTATCCCATAATATGACTGCATCCACGCTGTGGTTTTCACTATGATCATAAAACAATTACAACTCCACAATAAAAGAAATGTGCCCCCCCCCCTCTCATCTATTTATAAGTATAGAAATTAAGGTAATGCGGAAGCAACAGGAAATTATCCAAATATCCAAAAAATTTGAGCCTCCGCCCAACCCTCCATCACTTGAGGGAGGAACCCCAAACCCCCCATTGAACATATAGCCCAGTGTACAATACTTATTAGGGTTCACAAACCTTGCAATGGGTGCATATGATGGAGTGCATTACTCACATCACAAACCACAAAATTTGGGCCTCCGCCTAACCCTTCATCACTTGAGGGAGGAACCCCAAACCCCCCATTGAACATATAGCCCAGTGTACAATACTTATTAGGGTTCACAAACCTTGCAATGGGTGCATATGATGGAGTGCATTACTCACATCACAAACCACCAGATTCATCTGATGCTTTCATATTGCTTATTCTTTGTTGAAAAGATTTATTAGGGAAATAACATGTGTACCTTACAATGTTAACTGTAATTTCCTCTCATATGGATCTCTACAGACCAATTATTTATACCTTGACGTCGTTGGAAAAGAAAAATGTAGTTCTTGAAAACAAGTCTTCCTTTCTAGGTGATTTGCCAACCTCTTGTGCTGATTTTCACATTTGCACAGCATTAGTTCTTTTCAACCTTGAGTTTTAACATGGTTAAGCATAATTTTAGATGATTTTAGGGTTTGGTGCCCGTATGTTGAGAATTAGTTCAGTAATTTTGTAAGACAAATAAATCATACATACAAGACACAACAAAGACTCACATGTCATTTGTACAACATTTTGCTAACTTGAATAGTTGACAAATGTTCATAGAGACATTAGTGAACAAACAAGACATCCAATATGCAGTAAACACATGTTTAGATAAAAACATGTTTAAACAAGCATATTTTATGTTAAAACTTTTTCATCAGTAAGTAGCATGTTATTTATTGTTATTTCTAATATGTGCTGATGCTTTTATTTTCATTTTATGAGTAAGCAAACTTTTTAGTCACCGACAAGTAGCATACCTCATCAAAACAAAAGATATACATTCATGTAGCCTGTTACAATATCTAAGAGAGAGAGAGAGAGAGAGAGAGAGAATATTATATGATGTGTATATTCAATATTATGTTGAATAATAATGTAACAATGTATACCATACTCCTTTATATAGGAAAAGAGCAACTTAAGTATGGTAATGAATATAGTATGGTATATATGATAGACAGAATATATAGTTACTATATTTAACACCCCCTCTCAAATTTAAATAAAGATACCAACTTGAGTTTGGAGAGAAAAATTAGAACATGAAATAAAACTAGAAATAAAATAAAACATTGATAAATCTAAGGCAAATAGATTGCAAAGTCCAGATGAGAGCATAGGGGCGCTTGAGATAGATTAGAGCCCGGAGCTAATGCAAGCATATAGTTTATGGTCATGTCGAACCATTGTAGGAACATGGCCGAAGCTCATAGAGCTAATGCCAAGAGACAGTTTATGGTCATGTTAGACTGTTGTAGAAGAAGAACGTGTGTTGAACCAACAAACGTGGCACACATGTAACATATGACGTGGTGTTGAACGGTGATGGCAACAGATGAAGAAGTGTGCCAGGGAGAGGCTTGGAAAGGAACCATGTGCACTAGGAGGTGGCTTGGAAAGAAACAAAATGCGCCAAGGGGGCGGCTTAGGTAGTGTGCCAAGGGGGCGACCAACAGCTTAACCTATAGCTCTGATATTATGTTACAATATCTAAGAGAGAGAAAAAGATAATATTATATGATATGTGTATTCAATATTATGTTGAATAATAATTTAACAGTGTATATAACACTCCTTTATATAGTAGGAGAGAAACATAAATATGGTAATCCTAAGTATGATAACGAAAGTAATATGGTATGTATGATAGACAAAATATGTAGTTATTATATTTAACATAGCGCTTAAGATTATCTATAAAATCCAAAAGATACTCTCTGCCATTTAGTTACTAACCCTTGGAGACCCACATATACAAAAGAGTCAACAAACAAGATTTCAACTTAGAAAGGGGTATCAAAAGACCTTCTATTCATTTCCCCCCATAAAATCCGCATCAAACAACGTAGAGCCACTTTCCATGCTTTCCTTGTATAAATCTATTAGGTTTCATCAAAGCATGATAAAAAGAGTTGACTTCAAATTTCCTTGATTCAAATATATTCCACATCATCATGTCATTTCTCTATTTTGAGTCCTCATAGATTATACATTAAAGTGAAGTTGAGAAAATAA